CATATATATATAATGTATATAATGTGTATTCGTATATGATCGTATATGAGTCTGTGGATCCATTGAAACATGTTATGTTTTCTAATCTTTCAGAAGATGGCGCCCTAACATGGCGAAAAAACGCAATTCGGAGGAAGTCAGGTACGTACAAAATATTATTGGCCACAGATATAACAATAATACTGTAGTGTTAAAAAAAAAATTCCCGAGATTTACATAACTAATAAAGTATTAATATTAAACGTTGCTAATCTATTATCAAATAATGTTATCCTAGATACTTGTGACCTTCGGAAATTTCAAGCTGAGATATTAGGAAAACGATCACCTATCGACGAGAAAGGTTCGTCAGTTTATATACTCTTTGAGTTTATCTACTTCTTCGTCTATTACGTTTACTACAAATTTTCCCATCATTTTCAATGTTTTTTACCGGCTATTAATCGAATTCGCTTATTTTAAAGACTGGAGTTCCTCCTCAGTAATCATCGCAAAAATACTGCCAATCATTCATTCTTAAATCCTTTCTAATCCATTATATTATTCTGGTTCACTTATATTTGTTTCATTCGTGACTTGTATATTTTTCTGGTGAATAAACTGACATACAGCTGGTATTATATACACTCATATTAGCATTGGCTGTGGATCTATCTGAATGCCTGAACTGACTGTTCCGTGTATAAGGACTATACTTATTATTCAGGTTTATTTATTCAAAAATATCACATTTATAAGAAGCATACATTTTACAAGTTCACCAATCAAAAGTCAATAGCAATATAAAATTAAATTGGAGACTAATGATATTAAAGAAAAATTTTCTTTAAAAACAGAATTACAATGAGATTACAATTTAAAAAGGAATACATAGTTAAAAGAATTTACATAAAAACGTGTAACAATAACATAGTTTAGTGAAAATGTACACAAAGAATAGCCCAGTATTAATTCACCCTAGTATGCGTTATATAGTCTATATAACATGACACGTATTCGTAAGATTTTAAAATTCCATTCAATCGATTAGAAATTATTATTAATTAGGCCTATTTATTATTTTACACAAAGTGACCCCCATCAATGAACTATTTAGCACTGACCAGTGTTCACCAAGTGATGATGAAAAGACCAATATACTCAAAAGAGGTAAGTCTACTGTATATACCCTAAGATAATAATAGCAGAAGATAGAGCAGCTTCCCAATATAGTGGAACATCCGTTCGAAAGGCATTGTGGGTACACAGAGTGTAATTGTACCCCGTCCGCGCGGCGGCGCTGTATAGTAAAGGCACCGCTTTGGCTCATTTGTTATCTGTAGTTTCATGGTAGTTTCTGAACTTAGTAAAATGGTCAAATTTTACCCCATTCGCGGGAGGGCGGATGTTCAATCATTTTTAATGCAAATACGCGGAACAGCTAATTCTTCTGCTATGACGAATAATAAATACATTTTGGAGCAGTATGTATTATGCATCCGTATAGGCCAAAACCCAATGTTTTTTAGTAGATTAAAGGCTAGTACTATAAACTTGGTTTCAGCACTCTTCTACTCATGCGTGACCGTCCTACGTTCCCTGCACAACGTAAGTTGCTTCCTAGAATCCATGCGACGAGGAGAACGTTCTCGTATGTGCTGATGACTTATTAGTGACGTAGTGACGTTCTACGTCCTCGTCGTGCAATCGAAAGCTTCCTATTATTAGCCCTAAGAACATTAGACTTAAGAACAACAGCACGATTGATAAAAAAAAAAAAGTGAATGCCAATATTAAATCATATTGTTTTGTTTTTAAAAGAGCAACACAGGCGATCGTCTACCCCTCCAATACCAGGACCGAAACCGAATAGAAAAAAAATTGCGCCTTTTAAACGTGCAACCACAATTGGTAAGTTAGCCTAATTTGAATTAATGACAAAAAATACAATAATGGACTTTTTCGGTAAGGCTTCGATACCGACAAATGAATAGCATGAATGTACGAAAACACGTGGGTTGTGAGAGAAAACCTGTTTGTAGGCACACGCGTATTCCTGGCGTTGTTCCGATTGTCAATTGATAAGTTTGATTGACACTCCGGCAAGGTTAATTAAAGATGGGTGAATACTTATACAATTTCAATACAATAACATTAATGATAAGAAATATTAGGCCGAATATAGTTCAAAGGCATAATTCCTTTTGTTAAATTGCATAATTTAATTTGTTTTTTATATATTTCATCTGGATAGAATGAAATTTTGAGGAAACCTCTACCGTCTGGCAAGTAACTTTAATAATATAACGATGTTGTGGAAAGCTCTAAAAACGTAGGTGACGCGCACCAAGTGTGATTGTGAACGTACAGTAATTGAGGAAAACAGATTTACATTAGAGTAGTTTAAGTGTGAGGCCAATCTGCAAATTGGCTTTGAGACAAGCCTCATCCCTTTTGCTGAAGTGTTGGATTTTAAACAGCGTAAACGTACGTAGTTTGTGCGACACACGTATCCCTGGCTAATAAATAACACCTTCTGATAGATCAGTTAAGTTTGACTCCAGAAAGTTCCATTCAGATCTTAGTTGGTTGCATGCCGCAAACAACAGCAGAAAACATTGTGCTATTCCAAATTTAAATTTTGATCTTGAATATCAGTAGCCGAAATAAAATTGCGCAAATTCACAAAAAACATATATCTTTATACGATATAAAATAATGTAACTCGTTGCAAATATATGTAGACCCTATCTTTGCAAGTATGTACTAGTAACAACAGCACATGTTTTATCTTATTATCATTATGATAATAATAATAATAATAATATTATTATTATTTTTATTATTATTATTAATGTTATGTATTTTTGAATTAGATGGCAGTTAAAACAATTTACTCAGCATTTTAATTGCTGGCTTAACTTAATCCTATAAATGTAATAATAATAATTATAATTATTGTTGTTATTTTTATTATTATTTATTTATTATTGTATTATTATCAATATTATTACTGTCATTAATGGTTGTTCTTATGAATTACAGTGTTATTATTAAAGTAAGTACATTAGGAAAATAAAAAATAAATAACAATAATAATAATAATAATAATAATAATAATAATTCATTCTTATATAGCACAAGCAAACAAGCTCTTAATGCACTGTACATAAAAAATAGAATAACTTATTTATGCAGCCCTTTGCAAGCTTTTACAAATTGTACATAAATGAAAGATAAATAAATGTTATATTGAAATGAATGAATGAGTGTAAATAATGATAAATACATATAAATATACTGTATCTGTATGTTTATAATATTGTTCCTATGTTTTTATGGTTCATTTTGTCTGTATTTGCTCAAGAATATTTTTTATTAATGCTTTATTATATTGTAAATTGTTTAGTTCATGTATTATGTTACAATTCTTTGCATGTATTGAAAGGCCTGCAACTTGAAATGTTGTAAGGGCACCCTTTTGGATTATTGTTTAATAAATAAAATTTATTCAAATCCAACATTCACTACTACATATTATTTCTGTGTATGTTTTCAATAATCCACTCACACATGGTTAAGACTTTAAAAATAAAGACGCAACATTCTTTATATAATTCACGCAAAGTTTATATACTAAAGATGGAAAAAAATACAAGGTTATATAAATGCTAATAGATCAGCTGAAAATAAACAGGTAAAACATGAAACACATGGTTCAGCACAGATATTTTGGATTTATATACACGATTGAATTACGTAACATTCAAACCACTTTGTACAATTGGTAAAACTGCTGTACAGAGAGAGCCTTTCTGGTTTAGCACGAAGAAATCCAATATACCATGCATATATGGGTTAAAACATAATTTCTATAGTTGAAAATACATTATTTCTCATTAGGCAATCTGGAAACTGATAGTAATTGGGCAAAATCTGTGTCTGTAAACTCTAACAAGTATAACATTTATCATTATGCAATTTGGAGCCAATCCATGTCATGCCTTGTTTTGTTATGAACCCCGTTTGATTTATTAAATGTGATATTGTGATGTGTTAATAACACTGCAATAATACATCTGCATTCTTGGAGCAATACAGTAAACATACAATAATGTATTTCCCAACAGGATAAAATGCAACCCCACCCCCACAAATGAATCAACACAAACATAATAATGTTATTCATTTTCAGTGACACCATCTAAAGGACAGGACTTAATCTTATTTGCATAGATATCTATGTTGTATATTAATATTTATGGACTATTATGGAAATTGCTTGTAATGTATATATATCACATGTTGATTGGACACTAACATTCAATAAATAATTTGAATATGGTCAACACATTCAAGAAAAAGAATACAATATCTGAAATAATAGAACAAACCATTAATTATTACATCATGTTTATGAATACTGGGTTGGTAGCAAAGAATTCAGTAGATAAACAAAAGCTACTGACAAATGACGTGGTCCATGACACAAGCTAATGATGTCTTCTAAGTTTTATGTTATAGATTAAGTCATTTAAGGATCACAAATTTCTTTTACCAATGATGTCACCAAATAATAGGATACATTCAGGATGTTACGAATCTCTGCAAATACTATGGGTCCAAATTTGATCAAAGATCAGCGACTAAAGTAATCAACAATATGAATATTGTACTACACAATTATAAGATTGGACCAGAAAAATACTCCATGCAAAATAAAAATATTTGCTTTGAAGAGAATTAACAATTTTGTATGGAAGAACATGCTTAATCAAATATAAAGGTATTCTTTTGGTTTTTATAGCTAAAAGTTTGTATAGCAATCACATATAAATACAGACAGTTTGCATGTATTTTCCACCATTATTACATTGATGATTGTAATTTAATACATAATGGTTAGCAAAATTAAACAATGAGTTGTCACTTGGATTGCCTGCCCTGTATAAATTCAATTCAAGGTTGGCTTAGACTTCCCACACACACACACAATGTTTTGATCACAAATTATATGCTGCAATGAGCCTAAAGATGCATCATGTAAACTCACGAGGGCAGATTATTGCCTTGTTCCTTCAACTTCCATCATGCACAACACAGCATACAGAATAAAAAAAAGATTAAATACAATTAATGTTTTGGATGATGGCTGTGAATTATTCTGTAATAATATAAAGAATTAAAACTTGAAATCTGTAATGAAATGCAGACATAAAATCCTAAAAATGCGCACATCCTACATAACATCTTTCACACTCTTTTCAACACAGCTTACACTGGTACATATACTCTTTGTCACATTGGTTCCTCTAGCATGTTCTCATTGTCACACTGGTTTTTCTAGCATGTTCTCATTGTCACACTGGTTCCTCTAGCATGTTCTCATTGTCACACTGGTTCCTCTAGCATGTTCTCATTGTCACACTGGTTCTCCTGGCACATATGTCCTATCTTACACTACCTCCTCTGGTACACAGTTTGTTTTCTTGCAACAGTTCTCCAGACACACAGGCTCATGTCACACTGGTTTCTCTGCTGTGTGTTTTTTGTCACAATGGATTCGTCTGGCATACTGTAAACCCTTGAATTGAAGCCCTGGGCTTCTTTTTTTTTGCGAACTTTAGATGGGCTATTTTTCGAGATGGGCTTTTTTTTCGAGACTACTTTTGCAAAGTAAAGAGGGGGGCTCCTTTTCTAAATGAATGTTGTAAATTTTGTGAATTTGTACAATTAAACAATAAATAAGGTCAATGTAACATCAATCAGTATTATAGAGTGTATTTAACTGGCATTAAATCACCTAAACTAATGTATAAATTCATGCACAGTGTGTGTACTGTAATTTCTCAAAAAGAAGACTATGCTATTTTTTAGATAGATGAGCTTCTTTCGAGATAGGCTTCTTTTCGAGGCTAATTTTGCAAATTAAAGAAGGGGGGGGGGCGCTTCAATTTCAGATGGGTTTCATTTCGAGATTAAGCCCACTGGGCTTCAATTTGAGGTTTTACGGTATGTTCTTTGTCACGGTGGTTCATCTAGCACAAAAGTTCTATCTTACACTACCTCGTCTGGAACACAGGTTCCTTTTCACAACAGCTCCCCTGACACACAGGCTCCTTCTCACAACAGCTCCCCTGACACACATGCTCTTATCACGCTGGTTCATCTGGCAGGTGTCCTTTGTCACACTGGTTTCCCTGGGACTCAAGTTCTAGCTTACACTACCTCCTTTGGTACACTGATTCCTTCACACAACACACAAGCTCATGTCACACTGGTTCATCTGGCATATGTTCTTTGCCACACTGGTTCCCCTAGCACATCAGTTCTATCTTACTCTACCTCCTCTGGTAAACTGGTTCTTTCTCACAACACAAAAGCTCTTGTCACACTGGTTTCTGCAACACCTAGATTCTTCCTCAACCTGATTCCTCTGCCACACTCCTTCTATAACAATATCAGAAATTTATCAAAGCAATTCCAAATAATAAAGTCTTGATAATTCACTTAAATTAAATCAAGATAAATATAAGCTTACTAAAGTCAAAATACAGATTAACTCCTTCAGAGTGTAAAAATATATCTTAACTCCATAACAAAGTTAAAAGACTCATAAGTCAAAATATATACCAACTCCCTATTTGAGTCAAACTGTAGAAGTGGCTGAAATACAGGATTCTGTTAACATCTCTAATACTTAATAAACAGAACTGAAAGGAACTATTTTTTTTTTAGTTTTCTACAGACACTAAATCAAGGAATTTAAAATTTCTTAATATAAACATATGAATATAAAATTGTCAATATTTATGTAAAATTTACATAAATAAGAAATTATGAACTGCCATTGCAGGATATCAAGTTTAGAAATAAATAATACACATACTCCCAATCTTGAAAATATAATTAAATTCTCTATAGTATCTTTGTTCCTTTTGAATAATAAAATGAAGAACACATCACAGGAGTCTTGTGAAATATTAACGTAAAAAGACTTTAAAAATCTTCATCTTGATACAAATACATTTACAGCACAGTAAACTAGTTGACAAATATACACAATACATACATGATAAGGCCAGACTTTTTTTAGACCTTGTTTCGTGAACTTATTTTTTTTTTAATTGTCAGGAAAGCAGAAAAAAATCCAAATAAAATTTTGTTTTATCATTTAGCAAAATGATTTTACCAAAACCATCTAGGGGAAGGAGAAAATAAAAATAAATTTTATTAATGAAATTAACAGTGTAGTAATGAGATTGATAAATGCTTTAAATTTATTTTTGGAGAATTTAGGGGAGTGGTATGGAGGGTGTAATAAAAATATATATAAAATTTAAGTTTTTTATGAAATTTCCATTTTTGTGGCGAGTGTGCGTTAACTGGCTAAAAATAAAATGTTACTTTTATTCAACATCACCACTCTTGGCGGTCGGATGGTTCGCTAAACAAATATATAAAAAAAAGTCTCGCCTAATTACACACAGCAAAACAATAATGTTCTTACAAGACATGCATGTGTATGTGTATATGTGTATGTTTAACTTTTTTCCTGCACATGTGCACTTTAAGTGTATGTTAATGACTTTCAACGCTAAAGCTGGGCACGCACTACATCGTACGACGATTTCAACTGCGCTTCCTGTGGCGCTAGATGACGCAGCGCCGTCTGCTGACTGTCTGCGGTAGTGAGAGTGAGAGTCTGCCTTTTCAGATGGTTTTTAGATAACTAGGACTAGAGCTCATGGTGTGCAAGTCTTCAACATGGGCTGGATGTACAGTATAATCTGAATAAAGAGAATGATCCCATTTCTACAATCCCGCCCCACTTCCAAACAACCCAACCATCTCATGGCAAATCAAACACACAAATTCACTTTGTAACATCCTCTCATTAAAAGAGGTTTAGAGTTTAAGTACATTTTGTACCTAGAGCATAATAAGTTAAGATTATCTTCCGATCATTTTTAGTACCTCTGGAATTAACTGTATACTGCCTCTATGGTCATTGTAGGTACAATAGTTCATAGGTCAACTCCAATCAGTGTCTCTCCACCTCACTTTCAATTTATCAAAGTCTATGTACATGTTTTCCCCTTATGAATGCCTTAATTGTCTGAGCAGAGATACCAACGATGTGTTGTGCCCCATTTGACATAAGAACGGATGCCTAAGAAGTTCATAGGCATTAGCACGTTGGGATGGATCTCGCACAAGCATCTTTTCTAAGAAACCCTGTAACCGTGGTGATGCCTGGGAAAAGAAAAGACAATAAAACATTTTAGAACAAATTTCTTCAGGCATGGTCAAAGAAACATGGAAACCACTATGCTACACTTCTACTACTTTGATTAACATACAAGTACTTACTCTGTACGTGTTCTTTAATTTGGGTGGTGGCATATCTCGAATACGTCGCATTGCTTGTAATGGCGGTTCATTGAAAAATGGAGGCTCACCATCTACCATCTCCATGACCATAATACCCAATGACCAAATATCAACCTATTACAAGTGGAAACAGTAAAGAATGGAAAGAGAAATACTGGGAATGAGTAGGCTTAATTGGAAATCCATGACACTGGCAGATTTTTGTTCTGTGATTTGCCCATATATGGGTATGGTATGAAATCATGATGCCCATATATGCGCAAATCACATGTATTTGTCACAGTGCGCTATTGTAACTTGCATTTCAGCTCTCCCTCTGAAATACAAGTTCAGCAGTGATGGGAATTGAACCGGGGACCTAGAGATCTCCACGGTTCAGCGCACACAAAGTGCTAACCACCAGTAAAGCCGACCGAGCTAAGATACTGTCAAATGAAATGAAATACTGTATTAATTCAAATAAATGAACCGGGGCATTCATTGCTGAGAATTGTTTTTTGAGTGGGAATCTATTCGAAGGAGGAGTGTATTTGAGGGAGGCATTTATTTTTTTGGTGTCATGTACGACGATGACAAAAAATATATTAAAAAATATATATGATAAAATAGTATTTAAAATTAAATACTGTAAATAGTAATAATAGAATCTATGGATGAATGATATCCCTGAACTTAAATCACTTACCTCTGGTCCATATGGTAACCTTGAAATGACCTCTGGAGCCATCCAATAGGGTGTTCCCACCAATGACTTCCTCTTTGGCATGTCATGGGACACCTGTGCACAGAACCCAAAGTCGGATAGCTTTACCTGTAAATGTAAAGACAGGGAATAAACATTAGATGGATTTTCTGGATTTTGGCACAGAGGTAATCTTGGCCTTTCAGTTGTGGGTTCGACTCAGATGCTGGTCACATTTGACACATGGAGAAGGTTTACATCATTCATGACTGAATCTGTATCTAATAATCAGATGGGGAAAAAGTGCATTGTGACCTACTTTACAGGTAACACGAAAAGAGTACTGTAGCAGTTATTACAATTTAATATGTTATTAATTAGTGTACTTACTTGCTGTATTCACAGCTTTTGTCTAATCTGTATTTGAAGTATAATCAATCCCTTTGGTTGTTCTTTTTAAAGTTTTCTATTTTCTATACAGAACTAAAGGTTGCGATATTAAGGTACTTACTTTGCCATCGTGTGTTAGAAGGATAGAATCACTTTTGATATCCCGATGGATAACACCTTGGGAATGTAGGAAAGACAGTGCAGTCAGGATCGCTTTACAAACAAATGCAATCTGCTCCTCCTCTAACCTGCAATAAGCAAAATAATGTACAGTAATGTCATAATTACACCATCCAATATTCAAATATTGCCATCTTTATTGTTATCATTCTCATAATCAACAGAATCATTATTTACCAGCATACTACTTATGTCATTATTATTATCAGTGATATCCTCATGATCATTTATGCTATTATCTTAAAAAACAATCATTAATGTCATTGTCACCATTGTCACTGTCTGTATGATTAATGTTTTCACCAACCACTATCATTACAGTGTTATTATTATTATCTTAAAATCATCCATCATAATTTATAATCAACATCATAATCAAGTGAGTGTACATGTTTACGATTAGGAACTAGAGCATTGGGGTCAGCAAATTATTGACATCGTGAATGCTAGATATGATTGCGATCTAAACAACTAGAAAGAACACGATGGAAAGGTCCATAAAAAATACAGATGTTTGAATAAGAGTTAAAATAATATTTTGTTAAGTGGAAGAATGCCAACGATTAAAATAATTTGGTTTTTATCGAAGGTAAATTCAGCTAGGCTCCAGCACGGTAGACCACGCTGCTGCGCTGTCGGTTCGTGCTAGGCCTGGCCGCCGTCAGCTTATCGGCGCTTGGCAGGAGATAGCTAGGTTTAAGTATTGGAAACTGACACCCGATCATTAATTATCATTAATGTCACTATTTTAACAATCATATATATAATAATTAATCACTATCGATATAATCCCCATAAGTCTATACAAATCGAAATCCAATGAGGAAGTCTGTAACAATAAACTCCCAAGGATTCCAAAACCTTTACCCACCTTGCATGAGTCACAATATCAGTGAGTGCACCGCCCTCTAGGAATTCCATCACAACCCAAAGTTCATCGCCCACTAAGTAACTGTCGTACATTTCCACAATGTTTGGGTGTTTGTAATCCCTCATAATTACAACCTATATTAATAAGAGAACAAAAAAATGTTAATTCTGTCCAGATTTCTTTGACAAAAAAAATTGAATGCCCGTATATAGTCATGATGTGCCTATATATGGTCATTATGTGATGTCATAATGTCCATATTTAGGCATGTCACATGTTTTTGTCAAATATAATTTGATAGTCTGAACATGGCTTTAAGCAATGCATAATAATGTCATGTAAATCAGCAAATACTAAATCTGTGTCTTAAGCCCCTATCGCACTGGACTTAATTTGGTCAAATTAACCGAGTCACTGGCTAAATTGACCAAAAACAAATCCAATCCGAACGTCGGTTACAATTCCCTCAGGGTTAAATTAACCAAGCCGAATGGTTAATTTTACCGACCTCAGCCTGCCCAGTAAAACTTACCACGGTCTCGGTTAAACTAACCACGCTGGTCAAGAAGTCTAATCCGAACATGCAACACGGTTAAAACACCGCTCGAACAAAACCGGAATTTGAAGTCACAAACTAGCGCCCTCAATAATATTTTTTATACACAAGGTTAAATCTTGGTAAAACTATGGTAAAACTAACCGCGTGAATAATCCAAGTGCGAACAATGGTGAAATGTACCCATGACTTTGGTTAAAGTTACCCTGGTTAAATTTACCATTTTTTAAATCCAGTGCGAACAAGGCTTTATAAATCAAATTTATTAGTCCATACAGGTAAATAAATTAATTGGTAGAATTTTTTGAATAGCAATAAAATTATTTCATTGTAAATTGATATTTCTTTGTTCTTTTCCAATGCTTATATACAATTTTTCATGTTTTTTTCCACAATAAATATTACTAAAGATGATATATCTTATTGAAAGATAAGCAAAATCTTGCTTCTGACTGTCTCAGGTTGAAATTTTAAACATAAAATGAGTAATGTTTTATTGAAAATGTTGAGCATTATTCTATGTTTTGTCACAGATCATATATCTTGAATTAGACGAGTAATTGCAGGAAACAAATACAGCATTATGCTGTTACTGCTCTACAAACTAAGCTAAGGTTAATGGAAGCTATAGATATTTTAAATCATGAGCATTCTGAGGTTAATCAAGGTTATTTTTTCAATTCACTGTTGTGCTCCTGTATGTTGAGCTGTTCTTGTTTCTGTGTATTATTTTTAAACGACCATGTATTTATTGAGGGGATGTGAGGCCTAAGAGGTCAGCTGATAACCAGAGGCACTATTAAATAGATGAAAGATGTATTGTTCCAAGAAAAATACAAAAAAAAATTTCATAAAAATAATTTTTGAAATTAACTTAGCTCATATTACAGTAACATAAAAATGCTCAGCTTGAACATAGAAATTAACATTTAAAAATGTTACCCATAATTTTACAGTGAAAAATCATAGAAATAGTGCAAGTAAATGGAAGTGTTTTTATCATCATTATCCAGTATAAAAATCATGGTACTATACGCATTTTTAAAATTCAATAAATTCTATGCTCAAGTTAATAATTTGTATGTTACTGCAAAATAAACAAGTTAATTTCAATTTTTTATTTTTTATTTTTTATTTTTTTCCTTTTTAGGGGACAATACATCTTTCAATAATGTGAAGCTTTATAAACTGAGTCTCATTACAAGGCTTAGAGTGTAGAGATGTTTATTTGGCACGAGAAAAAATCCTGTGCCAGTCACAGAATTTTAATTTGATTACAGGCCTAAATATGTTTAATTTGTTAAAGGCCAAAAGCTCATCATATTTTATATTAGAATATACTAATTTTTTTTTTCCATTCATATATCTTCGTATACTATACAGTAACTAATTTAAGTAATATTTTAATGCTATATACTTATATATTTTGGCCTGCATATGTTTAGATTAGGAAAATGCCTAATTATATAGGCCTAGAGAATATTTATGAAAGGGAAAATCATTTATTTAGCTTAACATTTATTACTGTCTTATTATGCCTTGAAAAATTTGTTATCTAAATGCATTTATTATATTTACTGTAACCCAATTTTTTTGTCTACATTTAATGACTCCTCTATATTACGTGCACAAGAAGAAAACAAATGTCATACTTTCAAACACTGAATAAGGAAATGCTAAAAAATTACAAAAAAAAAACAACTCCCTAACAACCAGGTAAAAGTGTAACTACCTAGAATGGTTACAACACAGAATTAAATGTTTAATCCGCAGGTTTACCTCATTAAATAAGAGCTCTCTTCTTTGTTGTTTCCGTAAGTCCATCTTCTTGACAGCAACTTGTCGACCTGTCTCTCTTTCGGTCGCAATACAAACGATACCAGTCGAGCCTTCACCGATTTTCACAAAGTTCTCAAACCTAAGCCTAGGGTCGGCTTGACTGACAACCATCTGCAGAGCTGCCCGGAACTGTTCGTGGGAGACACGCTCAGCCTGGGGCGTGTTCGACCCTGCCGGTGCCGGGTTTGAGTTCTGTGCCATTTGTGGCGGTTTAGGCTGGTTTGAAGAATATGGCGGTGAAGTTGGCATAGGTCCAGATACGACAGTAACTCCACTAGGGGTTGTAGGAGGTGATCGGCGTTCCTAAATCATAGTAAAATAAGATATTATATCATGAGCTGAGCAAAAAAATATATTGAAGGATTTCATCATAAACATATCATTATCTGTTATTAATTTAAAAATCAATGCAAAGCACATAGCTGAAGGTTGTGACACAATGGTTAAAGTGCCCAGTTTCAAATATTGTGTGTAAGGGTTCAATAATCACCAGACAAAAATAAGTGCTACCAAAGCTTAATTGAGTCTTAGTTTAGGCACTACCACATTGAAGTGAGCCACAAACCAGATGGAGGGTTATGTTTCATACAACCAACATAAAATTATTGCTGCGAAGCAGCCAATTCATATTCTTGACAGCAATTTGACTTCTGAAAGGTCATTGTTTGTCAAAAAACAGGCGCCTAAGACGACTGAAAAGCGGAGTTTCCTTCTTTCGTTCTACCGGGTAAAATCAATTACTTTAGGCGACGTTTGTAGACTAACATACTCGTACCAACGTCCGCCTGTCGCGCTAGCCAGGCCTAGACTAGCTAGGATGGTAGGCCTAGCCTTGATGGGACGAAGGTCCCAATGAAAAACAACGTCGCTCCTTGATAGCTAACATTGTCTATTTAACATCACAATAATTCATTATTAGACCTATAGTTGTTTTTTAATTATACTCCACAAATCTCAGCCGATACCTCGCATAACTCGTTAACGTCTCGTATCTATTGTTGTGACGTCAAGGCTCGCTGGCTCACACCAATTTAACCTCCTTGCTCACACACTTGTGATGTCTC